TCTCTCTCTCTCTCTCTCTCTCTCTCTCTCTCTCTCTCTCTCTCTCTCTCTTTGTGTAAAAGAAATACAAAAGTTGAACGCATGCTGTAGTATAAAATTGCGATTGCACCCACCACAGATTATTCTCGGAAAAACGTTCAGCCTTTGAAATTTTGGTTGTTTTTTTTTTTTGTAATTTCGTGTACACTTCTAGAGTATATATCTATTCAACAAAAAATTGCTCTCCCTCTCTTTTGCATGCTTCTTCAAGCCCCACTGTGGTTTACAAAAACGAGGAACAATGTGAACGGTCTCGATGATGGTGTCAATCGTTATGACGCTTCTGTGCTGATGACTGTTTACCTTCTCCCATTGCAACTTCTTACAACTTGTTGTGTGTTCCCTTTCGCTATCCACCTCTTTGTACCATTGCACAAAACAACACCTGTGCATCTCCGCAACACCCCYTGTGCAAGTGTTCATGACGAAAAACATGGCTACTGATGCATACCATATCTTGTCATTCCCACTTGTCACTTCAACATCGTTGTGCACGGCTCTCCCGTGGAACTGTGGTGAAGTTCTTGCCGTTTGAACGCCTGCGCCCCTGTGCGTCCCATCGTATGTGCAGACGATAGTCAAGTGTGTTCGAGTGTGTATCACTTGGTCATCAGATGGAGGTTGACAACCGTTCTCTGTCATGAACGTCGTGAGCGCAGCTCGAAAATCCTCTCTGCAGGGAAGCTCGTTAAGTATTCTCAACACCGCGTTGCTTATACCCTCCACCTCCGRCAAATGCACACCGTCCATCTGGAACCACCAGAGTTGTASAGTTGCTGTGTCGAGCGCTGCGAGGATATTTATTTCGGTGTCCATGCAGTCTGTCACGGATGACCAATTTTCGACCGACCTCTTTCTTCGTTTTCTCACAATCTCCATCTCATCCTGCAAAGCCAATGAGCATCGGACATGATTCACCATCTAGGAAGCAGCCTTGCGTTGTTCGATGCCAGATATGGCTGTTTGCAGAACCTCTGATGATGATTCTCCCACACATCAGATGCGAAGGTGTCGGGGACACCGGATCGCTCTATGCATGTTCTCAGATGCATAAGGTCGTGCAACTTCGGAATTTTTCAATCCGAGGTTTGATATTTTTCCAACTTCGTTTTTATACTCGTTATGAGATCACATATCAATGCGTCACATACATCGAGAGAAGTCACAGTGTGGGTCGACTTACGAAACACGTGTATGTACATTTCCATGAGTTTGATGAAACAAGCGGAAATGAATTTGCCTGTCSCACGCGGGATGATATCACWAATAATAAACAYGCAAATTGTCATAACAGACYGATTTTGCTTCGATTWAAATCGTTCTTTYCTTGAAAAGAAATCACAACCCGTGGCCACGGGCAACACGAGCTGCGAGTATGTCCTCMCACATCTCTCACTGATGCTCTGCAACCTYGCATCCATCTCGTRCAATATCTCGGTTTGCGCRATATCCGGCAACTTCTTATAAGTTGCTGCCTTGAATGCATCTATCATATGCAAGAAAATGCCACGTTCAATGGTGTGCATACGGTCCGGTTGCAAAGAGAGATCGTAATCTAGTTGAGGATCGTCAGCATGCGGAMCCMTGTAGAATCCCCAAAGGCCGTTCTCTTGAACATGCTTATGCATGTTCAATTCTGACAWTCGTACCTCTRCAGCACGRCGAATATCRTTGTCCCCATTGYTGAAGCAGTTCGCAGCAGGTTTCGTCTCTAGCGTCTTCGACCTCCTGCAGTTGGTGAAATCGGCGATGACATCGAAATCGTCTTTGGACACTGTGCATGTTGGACAAACACCGAATTTCACACTTGCAAGGGCACACCTTTCAGAATARCCCTGTATATASTTCATGACGAAAGGGTGGACTRTTATCTCGCYGAACYGCTCCGTTGTAMCTATCATGCCATCATGGGATGCCTCCTTTGCGGACCRCARTACTATTGACAATGCTTTATGCAATATCACAGCTTTCCGTTTTSTAAACGCGGTGGAGTGCATACCCCAGCCCTTGTCAYGTGGCCGGTGTTGAAGCACAYGAAGATMCGCAAGGAGTGTGGCRTCCGATGCGCGATCGGCTATTGACATCACCTGAGGAGACGCTGTCTGCTTTTGACGACCGTCTACATGAGTCTTGTCTGAATACAGAGACATAGGGATGACATAACGTGTTTTACCATTCGCGTCCTCACCCTTGTCCGCTCTGATAACAGTTTGGAGATGGCGACTCAACTGGCCCGTGCGAGAGCCACATATGTTGATCCCCTCGTCGGGAGGTTCTATTTCGAGGCAAGAAACGGTTTCAACGTTGTGCAGTGCAACACATACAAGGTCAGCGAACGTTGTGCGTCAGTCGTGGTACCACAAAATGACGTGCGCTTCTTCTCGCCAATCATCACTGTGTAGATTATTCTTTTGCCACCCTGCAGCCTCAGTCTGGAGGCTTGCCCATGTCAGACACTCACGACTGTTACGAAATGCTATATTTCTTGGGTCGAATCTAGGATTCTAGAGGAGTGACAACAGACAGTCAACGTCAGTTTGGGACATGCCCACACCGCCCCTACATGAGAAAATCAATGCCGCAAGTTTGCAGGAATTGTCGAATGCCTCTGTGTGTTGTTCTTGTTGTTCTTCGGATATGCAGTCTGCTTCTACATCGGGAGGGGGCTCAACCTCCTCGCTTTCCCCACTAACCAGATTAATGGGACCACTATTTGACGGTCCACCGATAACCTCCCTAACTATCTCTTGTGTCGTGTTAATGTCTTCCACAGCGGATGGACACGCCCGCACTCGGTGTGAGTTCATCGTCCGTAATGACATGAAAGGCCGCCCACAGTCACACACGTGACTCGCACCATCCATTGCAACTACCTGCGAGAAATACAAAGTGATGTCACTGAAGACCTGTCGCAGATGGAGCATGCGCGTTCGGTGTGAAATTCATGAGTTCCCTTCACACTCCCCCCACCCCCGTCCCCCCTCTCCCTCCCGTCGACTCAACACCTCTGTTGTGCACTGCTGACAGATTCCAAGACAACGACAACATTCCATTT